CCAGGGGCACCCCGCTCCGCGCTGCCATTCATTCCCGATTTTTTTTTCCTCTGCCTTTTTACCCCCCACCCCCCGACATTCCCGGTCATCCCAGGCGCAGCCAAACTTCATACCAGAGCGACGGAATTTGGCAAGGRCCCCTCTCCAAGCAGATGCCGAGGATCCCGGGCCGTGTGGTTTGCGCTGCTCGGCTCCTGACCGAGATTTCCAGAGCCGCCTGCGGCAGCGCAGCGGCATCAGGCCGTGCCTGCCCGGCCCCGGCCCGGCCCCCTCCCCCGCGCTCGCCCGCCCYCGTCGCCGGCGAGGCGAGGAAATAGACATCCCGAAGAGCACTGAGGAGCCGGTGCCTTCCAGAGGAGCATCCTGCCTATAGAGTACAAGCTGGGTAACCGCGGAGCCGTAAAAATAACGTGTAAGACAAGCMTATTATATAAACATACCATATATTTTATTGCAGTTACATTTTCTCTTAAATAACGATGGATGTATCGGCTTGTTTTTCACCTGTTACGTACATACACACACACACACACACGCACACACACAGAGTTAGTATTTAAAATACATATAGATACTATATGCATATAGATATTTTTAAAGAGAGATAGATACTATTTAAAGACAGATAGATACTATTTCAGATAGACAGATACTATTTAAAACAGACTAAGGGCACACACCCGACTCACGCAGTGAGTGCCCCGGTGCGCACGCCGCGCACGCCAGCGCGGTGCAGAGAGCGGCTTGCACGGAAAGATGCCGGGCTGGGGGAAAAGGAGGGGGTCACGAATGGTCACGAATGGTGTTGCGTCACCGCTCGCAGCTTTGTGACGCGCGGCAAGAGGTGCCACTGGGGTGCGCGGCGACATGACGCGCGGCTCTCAAAACCGAGCACTTTCACCCAAGCGTGGAGGGTGGGCGACAGAGCCCGACGGCGTTTACTGTCCCCTCTCCCCGTTTATAGCCCCCCCGCCCCATTTTTTCCCTCCCCGGGATGGGGCCAGACGTGTGGGGCTGTGCCTCGCCCCTCACGGGGAAGCCCCCGAGCCCGGCACGGTCCATCCCCACCCCACAGAGCGGAGGGGGTCCCGCTGTGCGCGGTGCCCGTCCCGTCGGGGCGCACCCGGCCGGCGCAGCCGCGGGGCAAGAGCACCCCCTGCCGGCTCCTGCGGGGCGGGGAGGGGGGGCTGGGGGCGGCTCGGGCTTTGATCCATTGCCCACATTGCCTATGGATCGGCAGCACGTGTCTGCTCCTCGCTCCGGAGCGCGCAGGCGGCGGGGGTGACTCCACCCTGCGCCCCCATCATGCGGCACCGCCGCCCCCTCCCCGTGCCACTCACGGCGCGATAACAGTGTTTGCATTGCTCTGTGCCAATGCATATAGAAAAAAAAYACGAAGGAAAAAATTAAAGGAAGTTGAAAGCTTTTAAAATCCGAATGTGTACAAGCGACTGCAGATTGACAGCAGAAGCAGAACGTTGTACATCTGCCGGCATATTGAAAGGGTTTTCCAGCTTAAACCTTTCTTAAAAATAAATATTCAGACTAAAGGGCCTGCTGGCAGGAAAGGCCTGTTCAGAGGAGCCTGTGACTGGCTGCCAGAGAACTTGGGCCACTGGCTATCGCTGCCCCCACTCTCTCCCTGGGTGCAGGAAAAGCATCTCCTCAAACTGACCGTGCATCCTGAGAGGAGAGGGACGAGCACTGCCCATGTCCCTGCCGGGTAGAGAGACACCCGGGGTTCCTCAGGGGCCAGCCAGGTGACAGCCAAGTGCAGGGGTCACAGGGGTCCCACCATGGGGCTGCCTGCTGCAGCACTGAGGCATYGCTGCTSTCCTTGGGTAGTTAGGAAGCTCTGAAAGGTTACAACACAGCCCTAGTTCCAGACTGGCATCATTCAGGTGAACTGTAGTTCACTAGGGCACATTATTTAATCTTGCAAAAGGAGTAACTGCCACCTTATTTAAGAGCAAATTATCATTATCAGCAATCAACTGGATTACTGATTTCTAGAGCAAGGACAAAGATCGGACTTGGAATCTCATCCCACATTAAGCAAAGTCAGCTCCAAGAAACTGAGACAATTTCCTGGCTGGAYGTAATCAACATTTCATTTACCTTGTGTTTCTCAGCATGTTGCAGTGAAATTTCAGCAGTATTTCAAATACTGCAGAATGTACCAGTGCATTTATGCTGGTCAGTACGATTTAATGCTATTTTATATGGATCTTGTTTCATTTCMCCATGAAATGTTACTTTTGACCTCTCCGAAGCTGCTATCACTTAAAAAAAAAAAATAGGTAGAAGTTCATCATGGAGTACACTGATTTGCCAAAGACAAGGTGAATGTGTCTCTGAAGGAAGACCTTTACACTGCTGGGCTTTGTTACAGGAAAAAAGCCAGCCAACTCCGGTCCTCACCTCACCCTCCCTTTCTTGGTGTAAGCACCTGGAAATCACATCCCACTCACCTGAAAGAAGAAAGGAAATGGTTTTCAGTCAGAATGACTGTATTTACRTTTTTTCAGTTCTGAAAGGTGCATGGGATATTAATCATCACACTCTGTATAGATTGAGAATTATTTACTCTGATGTGCAATTCTTTTCACTTCACCTAATTAATGGACATGAGAGAAAATATATATTTTATACATATATGTGTGTATATATATATATATATATATATATATATATATAATACATGTATTTTAAAATAAACTGCCTAAATAGAAGAGAAATAGAACCCTATCAGTGACTGCACTTTAYCTASGGTATGTATAAAYTGGATTTTTTGCTCCTCTGTCATACTTGAATGCGAAAACCCTTATCACTTAAAAAAGTATCTATGTTTAAATCAGTAGAACTAAGAACCCTTATCACTTAAAAAAGTATCTATGTTTAAATCAGTAGAACTAAGAATTGTAGCAAGAAATTGAATTAGGGTGAATTACGATACAAGAAATATAGAAACATTTGCATGAGTTAAAGAGATTATTCTAATTATGATTGATACTGGCAATGCTGCCACTAATAAAAGCATTAATTCAGCTCATGAACACACTCTGTCCCTTTAATGACAAACTTACTTTTGGAAGGATAAGGTGGGGGKTTTCAAATTGTCAATGTGAGCAGTAATTCTTTGACAGAATTTTGATTGTATTACTCATTCAGGTTGTTTGTGCTGTCCAAGCAATTAGTAGGAACGCAAGATGTGCAGTGTGAATCATGCCTTTCTGTATGTTCGCACAATATTTTTCAATTAGTCCTTTCATCTCACCCATACTCTCAGTCCTGCTCTAGAATAAATGAAAATTAATAGCAACAAATGTGTTCCTTGTGTRTACATTTGTGTATCTTTGCCTAATAAAGTCCTCAGTGTGAGCTCTTCATTCAGCTTGGCCAMGTAGCAGAGTGTACTCTCCAGGTGAGCTCTGCTGAATTTAGGAATTTAAGTATTTTATTGACTGAACTACATCAACTGTGACTGTAACGTCATTCTGCCTCCCTTCTGCCCCAGACGTGGTGCCTAAAACAGGAACATGCTCTTTCTGGCAGAAAAAAAAAAGAGCCAGAAACTATGACTCTTCAGCTGTGCCTAGTCTAGGAATTGGTTCCCATTTGGTGCTCAGCAGAAGCAAAACTTCCTGTTTAGTTTTTTCCAAGAGGAATTTGTGTGACAYGTCTGCTCTGCCGAAACTGCCAACATGTGTTACCTACAGACAGTCAGGGGATTCACTTCTGAGCAGGAACACTACTTCAGTCCAAAAACGAATGTTGACTGAGCCAGAGGTATTTGTTTTTGTTAAAAACCTAACAAACATCAATACTGCTATCATTACTATGTGTTAAAAGCAGCAGCTTGGATTGGCTTGGCAGGAACAACGAAGTGTGGGAAGCCCAAAAAACAGCCTCAAAAGAAGGTCAGAAAAAAAAGATACAACACAATTTTATCACAACAGCATCATGAAAAGTTTGGTGATGTAATTCCTCCTGTCTTTTGTTTCTTTCTWATCCTTCTATTAAGGGCAGTAATCTCACTGGAGAGGCAAACAGCAGGCACTATCATGATGGTTTTTCCTGCCTCCTTTTGGCAATGTTAGAAGTGTAACTAGATGTTCAGTATAATAAAAAAGCAATAGTCTGTGGCAAGATAGACATCGAGAGGCACAATCTCCAGGTGGCTGAATGTGCCGTGTATCAAAWGTGGATGAACAGGCTGTGCAAGGGKAGCTCTGGGGCCCCTCACAGCCCTGGCTGCAGTGGGAATGCTGGCGGTTGCCCAGGGATACAGCAGCCCTGCAGCTTTCCCACCCAGGCCTGGCACAGCGGCTCTTTCCATCTCTGCTCAAAAGTGCTTGAGCATGGCTGGCTTGGCCTATCTCATGCAGAGGCCAACGGCAACTGAAACATTCAAAATGAGATCTTGACCTAATTTTTTGTTCTCTGGTTGTTGAGATGGAAAGGCATTGCTGGGCAGCAATCACCGGAAAACTTCTTTATGTTATTCACTGCGTTGCTACACAATTATCTTGCTGGAAACAGCAGCTACATGACTGAGAATATTCACAGTTGTTCTCCACCCAGACAGCACGTGAATGTATCRAGTCAGCTCCAGAGAGAGAATTTCTGGAGAATGCAGGCTGCTGAACCCTTTTCCTTCCCTTCTCATCACCCCATGTGCAGTTGCTGGYGGGTGCTCCGGGCAGCTGCTGGCTCCATCCTGCTCCCC